CATCGAACAACTGAGGAGGAGGTGAAGAAGCTCCTAAGTGACCTTGACACCTCAAAGGCGATGGGACCGGAAAAACTCCCCATGGGTCCTTAGAGAAGGAGCAGAGATTGCTGTGCGTGCCTCTAACCCAATCTTCAACAATCCCTTGAAACTGGGCAACTACCTGAGAAATGGAAGACAGCTAATGTAGTCCCCATATTTAAGAAAGGAAACAGAAACGAGGCGCTGAACTACAGACCTGTGTCCTGACATGTATTGTGTGCAAAGTCATGGAGAAGATTTATCAGGAGGAGAGTGGTTCGAACACCCGGAAAGGAACAAGTTATAAATGAAAACCAGCATGGGTTCATGGAAGGCAAATCTTGTATCACAAACCCTGGAGTTTTATGACAAGGTAACAGAAGTAAGACAGAGGAGAGGGGGGGGTAATTGCTTTTTCCTAGACGGGGCAGGAAGGCTTTTGGACAATTTCCCCCCACAAGGATTAGTGCGGGAAGCTGGGGTCGGGGCTCTTTAAAAAGGGGAGGGCATGCTGGATAAGGGAATACCTGACAGGGAGGCAGCAAGAGTCATGGCGTGAAGAGGTATCGAGGGGGCCCCCTTTTACGAGGGGGTCCCACGGGGGTCAGTTCTGGGACCAGTGCTTTTTTTTATTTATTGAACAACAGGGAGGGAAAGGAATAGCTCTGAAGTGCCCCTGTTCGCAGATGATGTAAAGTTGATGAGAAAAATTAAAAAACGGACGAGGATGGGGCAGGAGCAAACAGACCTGGAAGGCGGGACATGTGGTCCCAGTAACGGGCTTCTCAAATTCAATCCAGCAAATGCAATCTAAAGATTGGGGAGGGGCAAAAAAGACCGCAGACAGAGTATAGGCTGGTGGACAAAGACACAGACCTCACCGGGAAAAGACCTTGGGGTGACCAAAAACATCGAGCACATCACTGGAGGACCATCAACCAAAAAAACTGCTCAGCAACGGGCGCCTGGCAAACCTGAAAAAACAGCGTTCTGATACCTTAAAAAGGAATGTTCAAGACACGTACACTGTGATGTTAGGCCCTACTGGAGTATGCAGCACCAGTCTGGAACCCACACCGGGCAAGCATCAAGAAGTTAGAGAAAGTAAAAAGGGTTTGCAACAAGGCTAGCCCCAGAGCTAAAGGGGAATGTCGTACGGGGAAAAGGGTTAAAGGGAAATGGGAAACTGACGACACTGGAGGACAGAAGGGTCGGGGGGAGACATGATAAGACAACAGTACTGCGGGGAATAGAAAGGGGGGAAACAGAATAGGATTTCCAGAGAGGGGACACGGGGACAAAGGGTCACAACGGGAAGTGAAGACTCGACGATCACAGGGATGTTAGGAAGTATTTCTTCATGTAAGTTGTCAGGAAGGGAAAAGCCTAGCAAGTGAAGTATGGAGGGAGGAACCATACAAGTTTTAAGAAGAGGTATGATACAGCTCGGAAGCGAGAGAGGAGGACCTTAGCGATCATGAAAGAGGCGGGGCCAGGAGTGAGTCTCGCCCCCTGAAAAAATTTAGGTGAGTACACACACACACACACACACACACACACCACACACACACACACATTCAGTGGGAGGGGGGAACTGACGGGAAAAACCAGTAAAAAATGAGGGGATTGTGCAAAAAAAATGCAAGGGGCAAGGAGAGGTTTGTTCCCAAGGGGAAAACAGAAATAATGGGAAGAACAGAACGAGTCCCTTTGGTTCCCCAAAGGTGTAGGGAGGCAAAAAATGGTGTACTAGAGAATGGAAAAAGGGACGAAAAAAGAGAACCAGGAAAAAAAAGAAATCAGCCGAAGAGCCAGAACGATGGGAATTTCAAAGAAACGACCGGAGGTATGTCAGGAGCTCAACACAAGATTTAAAGAGGTATTTTTCAGTGGATACCAGTAGGACTCCAAGAAATCAGAACAGGGGGGAACCAGAAGGCTGGATGGGACATATAACCAAGGAGGGTTAAGAAGCTGCTAGCGAACTTGACACCTCAAAGGCGGTGGGACCAGAAACATCTCCTTGGGCCCCCAAAGAGGGGCAGGATATTGTGTGAGCCATTTCAAAGATCTTAAACACTCATTTGAAACTGGGCAACTCCCCGGGTATGGAAAATGGCAATGTTCCCCTTTTTAAAAAAGGAGACAGACATGACACTAAAACAGACCTGTACACTAACGTGTATAGTATGAAGGTCATGGAGAAGACATAGGGGGGAGTGGTGGGGGCCCGGAAAAACAAGTGTATAATGACAACCGCACGGTTTCAGGGGGAAGGAAAATTCTGTGTCCAAACCCACTAGAGTTTTATGACAAGGGGCAGAAGTAAAACAAAAGAGAGGGGTGGATTGACTGCGTATTTTTGGACTGCAAAAAGGGGCCTTTGACCAGTTCCCACAAGAGGTTACTGCAAAAGCTAGAGGACCAGGCACACATTACAGGAAAGGCACTGCAATGGATCAGAGAATATCTGACAGGGAGGCAACAACGAGTCATGGTACGCGACGAGGTGTCAGAGTGGGCGCCTGTGACAAGCGGGGTTCCACAGGGGTCAGTCCTAGGACCTGTGCAGTTCTTGGTATACGTGAACGACATAACGGAAGGGATAGACTCAGAAGTGTCCTTGTTTGCAGATGATGTGAAGTTAATGAGAAGAATCGAATTGGACGAGGATCAGGCAGGACTACAAAGAGACCTGGACAGGCTACAAGCCTGGTCCAGCAACTGGCTCCTTGAATTTAACCCTGCCAAATGCAAAGTCATGAAGATTGGGGAAGGGCAAAGAAGACCGCAGACACAATATAGTTTAGATGGCCAAAGACTGCACACCTCACTCAAGGAAAAAGATCTGGGGGTGAGTATAACACCGAGCATATCTCCTGAGGCGCACATCAATCAGATAACTGCTGCAGCATACGGGCGCCTGGCAAACCTACGGATAGCGTTCCGATACCTCAGTAAGGATTCGTTTAAGATCTGTATACCATCTACGCAGGCCCATACGGGAGTATCAGCCCCATTTGGGAATCCACCCCTAGTCAAGCACTCAAGAAATTAGAGAAAGTGCAAAGTTTTGCAACAAGACTATCCCAGAGCTGGGGGTTTGCCTATGAAGAAAAGGTTAGGAAATCGGCCGACGACACGGGAAAGGCCGGGAGGGTCAGGGAGACATAAACGACATATAAAATACTGCCCCGGAATAGACGAGGGGGACAAAGACGGGAGTTCCAGAATGGGACACAGATACAAGAGGTCACAATTGGAAGTTAAGACTCAATGAATCAAAGGATGTTAGGAAAATATTTTCCAGTCATAGAGTATCAGGCCTGGGAAAGCCTAAAATGATGTGGGGGGAGGCAGGAACCATCAAATTTTAAGGCAGGGGATAAAGCTCAGGGGGAGGGAAGAGAGGACCCATAGCAATCAGCGAAGAAGGGGGGCCCCGGCTGTACTCACCCCTCAACCCAAATAGGTGAGTAACACACACAACACACAACCCCACACACACACACACACACACACACACACCACACACACTAGAGAAAGTACAAAATTTGCAACAAGTTGTTCCGAGCAAGGGGAATGCCTTAAGAAAGATTAAGGGAATCGGCCTGAACACTGGAGGACAGGAGGGTCAGGGGGGACATGATAACGACATATAAAATACTGCGGGGAAATAGACAAGGTGGACAAGGACAGGATGTTCCAGGGAGGGGACACAGAAACAAGAGGCCACAATTGGAAGTTGAAGACACAAATGAGTCAGAGAGATAGTAGGAAGTATTTCTTCAGTCATAGAGTTGTAAGGCAGTGGAATAGCCTAGAAAATGACGTAGTGGAGGCAGGAACCATACACAGTTTTAAGACGAGGTTTGATAAAGCTCATGGAGCGGGGAGAGAGAGGGTCTAGTAGCAACCGGTGAAGAGGCGGGGCCAGGAGCTAGGACTCGACCCCTGCAACCACAAATAGGTGAGTGTACACACACACACACACACAAACACGCACATACACAAACACACACACACACACACACTGGAGGACAGGAGAGATAGGGGGGACATGAGAATGACATACAAAATACTGAGAGGAATTGACAAGGTCGACAAAGACAAGATGTTCCAGAGATTGGACACAGTAACTAGGGGACACAGTTGGAAGTTGAAGACACAAATGAATCACAGGGATGTTAGGAAGTATTTCTTCAGCCACAGAGTAGTCAGTAAGTGGAATAGTTTGGGAAGCGATGTGGTGGAGGCGGGATCCATACATGGCTTTGAGCAGAGGTATGATGGGGCTCACGGTTCAGGGAGGGTGACCTGGTGGCGATCAGTGGGGGGGCGGGGCCAGGAGCTTGGACTCGGCCCCCGCAGCCTCGGCTGGGTGGGTACACACACACACACACACACACACACACACAAAACAGGCCAAGTGTCTAATCGACAAGTGCCTATGACAAAGTGGTAACTAACACACACACACACACACACACACACACACACCACAACACACACACACACACACACACACACACACACACACACACACACACACGCACATACAGACACACACACACACGCATGCACATACAACAGGCCTAGTGTCTAATCGACTTGTGCTTAGGACCAAATTGTAACTAACACACTAACAAACACACTAACTACCTAGTTGCGGTTGCAGGGGCGAGTCACAGCTCCTGGCCCTGCCTCACCCTGCCCCACCTTTTCAGTGTTGGTGTGTGTGTGTGTGTGTGTGTGTGTGTGTGTGTGTGTGTGTGTGTGTGTGTGTGAACGTCTGTCTCTTTATCTCTGTGTGAATGAGTGTATTCACCTACTTGTGGTTGCAGGGGTCGATTCACAGCTCCTGTCCATGCCTCTTCATGTGTGTATTTGCATGTGTGAGAAAGTGTGAATGAATTAAACATGCAGTTTTATATTAGCATTTAACTAAAAGCTCATATGTATTTTTACACTTTTTTCAGACTTGTTGAATCGCAGAGCCATTCTAGGATGTGGTACCGCGTGGGTGCTGTGCGTAGCATGACTGGTGGACGCAAAACTCAACCTCAGCTCTCGTACAAACTTAAAGAAGTAGGTATCTGTCTCACTGCACATCTCTCTCTCTCTCTCTCTCTCTCTCTCTCTCTCTCTCTCTCTCTCTCTCTCTCTCTCTCTCTCTCTCTCTCTCTCTCTCTCTCTCTCTCTCTCTCTCTCTCTCTCTCTCTCACTCTCTCTCTCTCAGTAGCAACCTTCAGAGAAGATAAACATGCAGTACAAGGAACCAGTGGTTCCCACTGTAAAATTATTATTTGTAATGTAATTCTCTTGGTATCTGTGAGAGCTGCATTCACACCAATGGTGACTGCCATTTCAGAACTTATATGTCAGTGCTGCGCTGGGAGTCGGGCTCATGGGTACCTCGGTAAAACCATGTGAGGGTCATGGACAGGGGCAGCACCAGAATTTCTAAACTTGGGGGTTTGGGGTGGCTATTTGGTGGAAAGAGGGTGGCTAGGAGACTTGTTTTGTAGCATTATTATTATTATTCTTACTATTTTCATTTGAGGGGCTTTGAGGGGGCTGAGGTAATTTTGGGGGATTGAAGCCCCCAAGCCCCCTTTGGTGCTGTCACTGGTCATGGACCCAGAACCCAGTTGTGGATTACAACATGATCTCCATGGATTCAAAATGCTCAGATACAGAGGGAATGCAGTTATGTTGTTTTCACAAAGTGACATCTATTCATTTTTAATGTTTTAAAGTTCTTTTGTAGATAACTGGATGAATAAGAGTATTGGTATAATGCCAACATATTGATGCCAGGAACTTGGCATAAGATTCCAAGCAATTCATAAATATTCTCCAAACTTGGGAGATGCCTGGATTTTATTTTGCTCTTTTTTTTTTTTAACAAACTAGCAGTCTCCCTCCAAGGTAGGGTTACCCAAAAAAGAAGAAACACTTTCACCATCACTCATTCCATTACTGTCTTCCCAGATGGGTGCCGATACTGCAGTTCAAAATTGCAAATATCCCCACCCCTCCTACAGAGTGCAGGCATTGTACTTCCCCCCTCTCCTTTCAACTGTTAACTAACAGACTGTGCTGCATATAACAACATGTGGCAGGTCACTTTTGAGTTTAACGTCAGCCAAATGAAACCCACCACACAACATTGAGAAAAGAATTAATTTGATAGGCTGAATATGAAGAACATTTAACCTATAATTTGTTGCGTATATGTTATAACAGACTTTGTTTATGGTATAACAGACTTTGGCAATATAGAAGAAATTCTACTGGATCAGTCGAATCAGAAACAGCAGATAAAAAATATTGGTTACAGAATTGTCAATTATTGTTACAATCACAGCAGAACAATCTTTTTTTCTGTCGACCACAATTGCCATGTCCAGCCACCTGCTTCCCCACATCATTCTGTTATATAGAAAATTTGCAATTCTTAAATCGTGTATGATTAAACTTAGAATAAAAATGTGCCATCAGCTCATGGCCACAGTCAATTTATGACCAAGAATATTCATTAATTACAGGTTCATGGTACTAAACACGTGCTTCCTAACTTATGAACAAGCTGCATTCCCATAGAGTATTTGTGATTCATTTGTTCAGAACTCAAAACCTATTTTTCTATGTAAAGTAATGGTGACAAATAATACATTTGGAAATAGTAAAAGTTTTGGTAATCAAACATTACCAGGTTGAATGGTGGGGTATACAACACAGGGTAGCAAGTGCTTGGACATATTGTGAACCATCAGCCTGCCTCCCTCCTTCCCTCCCTCTCTGTATCTCTCACATGAGTAAACACTGCTGTAAATGCTCCTTCCTCCCATTTACTTGTGAAAAATATTTCTGGAGATGGTTCCGAAGGTATTAATTGCTACTACTGAGGACAGATCCCTATTAAAAACAGAACTGAGTGAGCTGAAGTCTAGGGCCCTCACTTAGAACTGTAAATTGAAATTTGCAATACAAATATTATTTCAGTGTTATTTCCTGTGGATTTTATTCTTCAGAGCTGTTATTCATAAATCAAACATTTGTAACTCAGAGATCATCTGTATAAAATATTATTCCATTCAGGTAGTAACTTTTCTGGTTACATTAAGTTACCTATGGTAGGCTCCCATGGGAATCAGATAACCAGATTTTTTCCGTACATCATGGTGTTTGATGACAAAATCCAGTGTTGGTATGACATGCAGAACAGGATTTTATTTGAACATCATTTTTCTCGTGGTACAGCTTTGTCAAGTCACACAGGACACTTTTTTTTCTCATTTATATACTTCCAGAAAGTGAGGTTAAAAAAAAGGTGAAATTGTATGCAGAAAAAGATAAAAGGATCACACGCCAAGTCCTGATGATGCAGGTAGTAGAGCACTGTAGCTTGCCTACTTGTTTATTACTAGGTTAGAGCAGTGGTTTGATTACAGGCTTGATTTTTCACGTAAGATAACATGTGCCAAGAGTTTTGCTAGGCTGAAGGCTTCCTTGTCTTGGTTTATGTTGTCTGTTATACTGATGATCACTATTTCCAGCATCTGAGTCTGTTTGCTTCTTCAATAATAAACTTGCCATCTTTTCATGCCATGAGGTGTATGTGATGCTAACTCACTCAACTCACACACTGTGGTCCGGGGTTTGAATCTCCTCTGGTAAGGCTGAAAAACATTAGGGATGTGTTTCCATAAGACACCTACTGTCCCTGTTCACCCATCAGTTTAAATGGGTACCTGGGGGTTAGTCGACTGCTGTGGGTTGCATCCTGGGATAAAACTGACCTAATTTGCCCAAAATGCTCAGCACAACAAGGGGCTTTCTATATAGTAGTGTGCTGAGCTTTCAGTAGTATCAGTTACCAGTAGTGTCATACCAACTGTTACTGATTCACCGTCCTCCCTACGTGATCACTGACTGTTACTGAGTTATTTCTGCTGACCATAGCATTATGTTTGAATGCCGCTCGCCCTCCGGGCACGAGATAGGCAGTTCAGAGTAGGGTAGCAGAGACGAAGGCTCAGGCTTGGCAGTTCCTCCTATAGTACAGTGGACCCCCGGTTAACGAACTTTTTTCATTCCAGTAGTATGTTCAGGTGCCAGTACTGACCGAATTTTTTCCCATAAGGAATATTGTGAAGTAGATTAGTCCATTTCAGACCCCCAAACATACACGTACAAACGCACTTACATAAATACACTTACATAATTGGTCGCATTTGGAGGTGATCGTTAAGCGGGGGTCCACTGTACTCCTAATTATAAGTTACCAGCCTGTCCGAAGTGTGTGCTTATTACCCAGTCCATGTTCGAACCCCCACACAATGTCAGCTAGGCCTGTATACCATGTACATGTACTTGTAGTAAATAAAGATATTATTATTATTATTATTATTATTATTATTATTATTATTATTATTATTATTATTATTATTATTATTATTATTATTATTATTATTATTATTATTATTATTATTATTATTATTATGCATACTGGTTTTTCCAAATTATGATGTTTGATATCCATGACAATATACACACGTTTTGGTCCAACTTGGGCCATCAGTGGTCATAGTTGGACCAAAATGTCATCATAAGTTTCAGTATTCTGTGTGCAGGTTATTGTGTACAGTATTGTGCCTTTTACTCTATAATCTCCATAGCATTTCTCCAATGCATTATCTATCATAGCTTGCATGTGGAATGGTGCATACTGTCACTGCTTCTATTTAGTTGTCTGTGTCCAGGTCTGGTAATGTCTTTAATAACTTCTGGAGTGATGACTTCTACATTAGTACCACTTTTCTTCAGTACCTTGGTGAGTACATCTACAGTGTTGCCTGCTACAAAAGTAAGGTGGCTGTCGAAGTCATCATCTTTAAGGGTGGATAGCTTTCTGTAATGGAAAATCATAGTGTGAAGAAAATGTGGGTAAAAAAAGTATTGCATTTCTCCTAATGAAGTTTACAACTGCAAACTGTAGGTTCTTAAAAGTCAAATTCAAATTCTAATTCAAATTTTTATTTCTTTTCATGTGGTACAAAAATAATGTAGTTTACATGTAATAAAATATTGTTAGGCACAAAAAAGAGCCATTAGTATGCAAGGCATTTCAGGCAAACTAGTTCCAATACTTATACTATTTAAGAATTTGACGTACAGTGGACCCTCGGTTATTGAATGGAGTAGTTGTCGAACAAATAAGTTTTCGAACAAGAAATTCAGTCCTGGGTTTTGTACGTGGTCTTGGTTGTCAATCGACAATGCTCGGATCACGTGATCACCAGACAGAGTCCACAGTGTGGGTCTCGGTCAATATAGCGACTAATGCGCATGCTATAATCATCTCTTGAGCTCTTGCTGTGCATCTTGTGAAGGTAATGAAACCAAAAATATGATATTTGATGGAAAACTTATGGAATTACGCTATTGCAAAGTTAGCAGTCTCAGCAATATTTACGTATTGGCAATATTTACGCATTGGCGATATTTACACATTGGGCCAATGGAATTGGCCCTATTTTGGGCCAATTCCATTGCTCCTGTCGACCAAACTCATAGTTGTTTCACTAGAACTCCTTTTGTTCTGTTGAGTTCCAGAAACTGCCCATTTACCTATTTCAACTACTGAATAAGGTGATCTGAAATTGCTAATTTGGCCAATTTCACAGAAAATTAAAAAAAGGCCAATTTCAAAATAGGGTCCAGCATAAACAATGCAGACATTCCTGGCACTAAAATAACATTTTATCTGTTCATTAGTCACGTCTCCAGGCCCTCTTGTATTACGCTTGCTTTTCATTTTGAATTTTTATTCACACAAAAAATAGAAGATAAACTGTTATTCAGACTGCTGCATAATTGTAATAATTGTATAAATAATATCAGCGCATTCATGAATGCATATTAGACCCACCAGTTGATGTGTATTGGACGTGTGACATGGTTTGTTTACTCTTGAACATCAGCAAAAATCAAACATTTCCATTAATTTGAGCTCAATTTCAGGCTACTTTTAGTCTTTAAGCCATTGAAACTCATCCATATTTCTGTAATATATCTTCTAT